TCAACCTCCTTTCAGGTTCAGTAACATATACCTCCTTTTAGTTTGTAATTTTACAGAAAAAATGTTAAAATTAGGGAGTTAACATATACAGTGTTTTATTTATGACAACTACTAAAAAATGCTCACCCATGTACACAAACTAATTTCTGAACTAGGATTCCAGAATCTATCCAAGCAAAGCCAATTCAGTTAAAGGTTTATAATCAAATTAGGATTTATTTAATCTTGATGTCCCACTACGTATTTGAACTATAACACCCCAAACAATTAATATCTCACCATCTGTTGTACAGCAGTATAGCCATTGCAGTAGTTGGTGGCAAACTGGCAAGGTCCACATCTACATGTTTAGTTCCTGGAGGAACCTTACTAATACACAGCAGTTCATTGAGCAGCATGTTCAATACAGGAACAGATAGGCTAAAATATAAGACCAAAGACCATTAATATTATGAAGATCAGAGCTTAGTTTTGTTACAGAACTCCCTTAAATAACAAACATGACCCTCCAGCAGGAGCTTATCAGCCATTATTATTATATTAATATTCACTGTTCTAGGATGGCACATGTCAGTTTTTGAAGGTGCTCTTTCATTCAGGCATCAACAAGACTCAGACCTGCTTAATTTCATTAAGATTGTTGCACCGGGGTTAGGAGTTAATAGTATCAGTCTATAGGTCCTTTAAAAGCAGATTTACATTACTGCTTGTGCTACTTTAAATTGGAGCCCAGAGAACAACATGAGAGTCAATAAAAACCCAGAAAGCCACACAAATAATCTGAAAATACAATCTGTGTCATCATTCTACATTAGCAACATTAACCAAGAAATCCACCAATACCTTTTCTCCAACACATCCAAATCCCACTTTAAATGTGCACCAACTTTCAGAGCAAGTAACTTTAAAATTCGGTTTCTTTTGTTATCAGGCGGAGGCTGAACCTGATTCTGCTCATTCACTAAAGGTTTGGAAGCTTGCTCCAAAAACTGAACAATTAGTTGAACTGGTGACGGATCTACTGGGCAGAAAAGAAAGGTTTTAAAACTAACATTCTGAATAGAAACACCACAGCGGAAGAAGGCAGTAAAGACACAGTAAGCAGCACTGTTTTCAGGGCCACCCAAACTATGATTTTCTTTGGGAGAAATCTTAATGTTATTTAACACTGCAGTGCTGTGTATATATGGCCATTTCACAGATTGCAAAGAAAGAAATAACACACTGTTACCAAGTGTGCAGGGAACTATAGTCAATTGTAGCTTCATACAAGATATTTGTGTTTCCAAATATTTATAATACTCATATTCAAGCATACACCTGTATTTCACATCTCCAAAGTATGTACACATGAAAAACAAAGTAATGTACAATATAGCCTTAGGCTAAAACTCCACTGATTTCAAGGGAATTTAAGCAGCTTAACTGTGCACAGAACTGCAACCTCAGACAACTGAGATTAGCAAACAATAGTTTTAACTGCCCATGGCATAACAAAAGGGCCAATACAATTAAAGAGCATCCCAACAACTCTAAAAGAAAACACAATAAAACTCACTTAGCCTTTGCAATCATTTATAAAGATTGTTGTTTAGACCACGGCTTACTAACCAGGAGAAACTTTTTTCAGATGCTTTTCCAGCAGGGACTCTTCTAACAGGAACTCAAACCAGGAGGTCTGAGGTGGGGTGCATGGCCGGCTAGAAGTGGCAGCTTCCCGGTCAGCAGCTTCTACACTCATTGTCCTCTCTGAAGTTTCTTTCAATTTCTGGGAGCAATCCGTTGAGCCAGTAGCAACACCAGATGCCTCTGATTTAAAAGAAATATGCTTTAAGCTAGACACGACTACTCCGTAAAACATAAAATCTTATCACAAAACAACACATTCCCACTGCATTCCACAATGCAATCACAAAAAAGCTGGACAGTCAAGTGGGCAAGGAAGAGAGAAGCATCTCGTATTCAGAAACTTTGTTTTAAATAATTTTGCCACAAACCAACTAGAACCCTCAAATAAACGGAAACTTATATAAAAATAAACATAAACACCACATTGCTACATGTGCACATACACACTCCCCTGTAGCACCTTAGTGGCATTTATTTTTGTGGCTCATCAGATGCATTGTTATTATCAGTGAGCAAGTACCATGTTCACTGATAAAAGAGAAAAAATAGAGCTAAAGCCAGAGAGAGAAAAAACTGTAAACCATGAAGTTTGCACAGAAATATCACAATCCAGACTTTTTGAACCAGTTTAGACTGCTTCCACTAAACCTGTGCATGTGTGTACTTCACCCAAGGATAACAATTCAGGTACCTGAGGAATTGCATTCCAGTCCACACCACAAATGTCACACAATAAACCTGTTATGCCATGCATCCACTTTTTTTGCTATTAATAGCCATACTCAGGCACCACCATCCCTGCATTTATCAAAAACCTTATTGTACTTGAAAGACTTAACCGTACAACACACAATTCCTTAATCGGGCTCTCTTTTATTCCAGAACCATGCAGGCTTCTGGAATGCACATTGTGCGCGTGTGTTTTCACAACTAGAAAGTGAAGGTCCACCTTAAGTTATCAGTCTGGTGCTAAATAGCAGCCCAGGGCAACCGCACAGCTAGAATTACAGAACATAGCGTCTCTTATTGTATGGCTCAGACCGAGAACCTCGTTTCATTATGACCATCCTTTTACACAAAAATCTCCCCCTGCTCCCCCAACGATTCATTTCAGCCAGCTAGTTTAGATAAGAGAGCCTTCTTATCGCTGCCGGGGGTCAGAAAACCTTGCAGGTCTACAGTAACCGTCTTACCGGAAAGCCACCTGTCCATCCCCACTTCTCCTCCCCTCTCCTGAGCCTCCCATCCCCTCTGAGAGACCCCAAACATCAAACCCTGCCCCAGTTACTCCCGGCTGCCCACACCATGACAGTTCTTTTCTCAGATTACACGTACGTTTTCATGCGTGCTCCCACACGCGGGGCCGGAAAAGCTAGCTCGGTGCTCCCGCCTCTTCGCTCCCTCGCCCTGCCGCTAAGCCCCGGGAGGAACTCGCCCCTTCTCACGCCCGCCCTCCAAAATGGCCGCCCGTGCCGCTCGCGCCCTCGCGCCGCCTCGCTCTCCTCCGGAAGGGGCGGGGCGCAGCGGGACGGGCTTTGCTCCGCCTCCTCGCCGAGGCTGGCCGCTCGAGTGGCGGCGGAAGGCCGGGCTCCGTTGGACTTGGCTGTTGTGTGTTCCCTAAGCGCGTGCCAAGGAGAAATCCAGCGGTTGGAGCTTCCTCGATGCAGTGGTGTGATGGGCAAAAAATTGTTGATCAGTTCTTACTTCTTGAGGAAAGAAACGGTCGTGTAACTCTGAGTCCGTGGAGTGTTAACTCTTTAAAGTGCAGGCGCTCTGCATGACAGGTCCCCAAGGAGGGCGCAAACACGCAGGCAGTGACGTTGATCCATGCCAACAAACCAGGGCTAGTAACTTGTATTTGCTAGAAGCAGGTCTTTTGTAAAGGAAATACTTGATCAGTCTGCGCAAAGTGGAACTGTAGAATTCACTTCCACCAATTTGGTCAGCTTTGGAAGGGGACTGGACAAATTCATGGAGGAAGCTATCGATAGCTGCTATCCTGAATGCCATCTGCAGTGTCAGGGCAGTATGCCCTTATACACCAGATATTGGGGAACTTGAGCAGGGAAGGTGCTATACTCATGTCTTGGTTGTGAGGTTTTCACGGGGTTTTTGTTGGCTGGCCACAGCGTGAAAAGGATGCTAGGCCAAATAGACCCTTGATCTGATCTAGCACTCCTTTCATGTTAGATGGGGACAATACATGTTCCTAAAGGCTGTTGGTACACGTGGCAGACGTTTGTTTAAGAATCATGGGAATGTGTTTTTCTTACATTAATACTCTACAGTTCATGGTTGAGGAGAGAGGCTTGAAAATATGCAGGTTATACTTGCAAAAAAGTTCTTTGTAGCCAAATAGAAGCTGCACAGACATACTTAAGATGCTTTAACATCATGTGATTTCATTGTCCATTTTGTTTTCATAAGACGATTTTAAAAGCTAGAGTGTAGCAATTTAGGAAGTACTTTCTAAGGAAAGACAATCTTACGTTACATGATGTCACTGCCGAAGTGCAAATGTTGTAGCATGGGTAGGTAACTTGCATCCCTCCACTTAGTTTAAGAAGCCCTCTGCAAGTGGGTCAGCACAGAACTCTGGCAACAACCATCTGTCTGTCCCCCTGGCAGCCCTTCAGGGTGAAGTGGCGGGGGACTGGGTTTCACTACTTGCTGTGGTGCTACACACTGCTGGCTTCGGATTCCCAACAGATTACACCCAGAAGAAGGCAGCTCTCCCCAGTATAGCCCCTTTTAGAGAGCTGCAGCAAATGTATTCTTGCATGTGCCACTGTCTGTTCACTATTACATTGTTGTGGCAGTGAGTTCCACTTTCACAAAAGCTTCATGCAAAACCTAGATTTCCTTCATGGTTCTTCCTGCTTCCTATATTCTCAGCTATTTTCCTTCTCTACTTTAGGGAAATGAGTTAAGGCAGTGCAGTGAAATGTGACTCTAAGCTGCCTTTGATGTTTGGCTCCATAGAAATATGAATCCTTTTTATTGAAGCTCAAGTACAAAAGAGCAAACTAAACAAGCATTCAAATTTACCAACACAAAACTTTTTACTATAACAGAAGGTAGCAGAAACTTAATAGTTGCACCTCTAGAATATTACCTGTGTTGTAAGTTAAAGGTACTTAATGCTATTTTATTACTACAAAATTTCTTTGTTTTGAAGCATTCAGGGAACTTCATAACAAATTTTCCTTTAACTTTATTTACACAGCACATACAAAAATCTTGAATTCAGAAAGGGGAGGAGACACTACTTCACTGTTCCCAAATAACCAGCATTAATAAATAGGATGCTTTGATTACATAAGATACTAAAAAGTTGTTTCAAGTGTGTTCTCCTAAAAGTAAGGTTCATCTCAGCAGTGTATTTGCTTCTTAACTCCATGTTTCATAACTAACTGTTGAGTAGGAAATTCATAGAGTTCTTTTAGTGTTATAAAACTCGGTCCCCATTCTTCAAGGTAATCATAATTTAAGTCTTCATCTATGCTGGAGCTCTCTGAGGAACTCAAACTTCCACTCAAAAACTGCTGATCCTCTAGGTAATAGAAATGCAACATGTCCGCTGGAAGTCTCTGCAAATCTTTGTCTGGATCCTGTATTATTTGGGACACATTATGCTTGAAGTCTGTAACACTGGTAACCAAAGGAGTCAATTCACTCAGCTGTACAGGATTCCCAAGTGGGTTACTTTGCTTTCTGGAATGTAAGGTAAGGAGTAGTATAGCAGTTCGTGAGGTAAACTGGGATATACTTTGTGGAGATTTCTTTAATGCATCTGTATTAAAAGCATTCTGGGAGAGGAGAGGAGGAAAGGAAAAATTAATGCAAAAATTTCTACCTGTAATTCTTTTCAGCAGATTTACCCATAGAATACTTCATACTCTTTACTGTGCTTACTATTCCAATGCCTCCGAAGACCAGTTGGTCACTGCTAGCTCTGCTTTACAGAGTGGGACCAAGGCAGAAAGGTATCTTGCCCAATCCCCTTGCCCAAATCCAGTCTAACCATGGAAGACTTTGACGAGTCTTCCTGATACAAGTGCATCTTTCTCTGTACTGGACCATGCAGATTCTTAAAAGCCCAGTCAATAGACGGCAATGCTTGACATCAGGGGTGCAGAATGTCAGGCTCAGGGGCCATATCCAGCTTTGCAGGGGTCCCCAGAAAGCCACACCACTTTGCCTGCCTTCATCCCCCCCCCCCCAGTTGCCAATTACTTGGTGATATCTTGGTTTTTGTGCAGTCCCCCTCCCCCATTCTAAAAGGTTGAAGTAGTAATAATAATAATACTAAATTTATTTCATTTCAATATGACCCATGGGTGAAGATCTCTGGGCATTTCACAGCAGATATGCCTCTCCCGAGGCTTAGTTGCTAACAATTAAAAGCTAAAATGACCAGTATTTTTAGTATTCTAGCCACCTTTTTGTATTTGGCCCCACCTAGCAGTAGAATGCAGCCCCTGAGAAACTGACCCTTGGACAGAAATGGGTTCTGCACCAGTTGCTTTACATATTGGTCTTTCCCACCCATAGCCCTACCCACCAAATGCATACTTCCACATATCAGCAAGGCTGCTGCAACAACATTTTCTGCAGATTTTTGTATCTTGCTATAATTTCACAGAATAACAGGTCCTTGGATCCATGTACTCATGTTAGGAAAGAACACTCACACTGCAACTCAGCCTTTCCCAACC